CCCGCGGAAAGTATCAGATGCATATCGATCGCCACGTCGACTGAAGCAAGTCTATGCTTGTGAGATAAGAACTATAATGATTAAATCAATCAATACGCATGTAATCTTTTCTCGCGGATTTCTGCAATCGCCGATTTTCTGATCAATACGCATCTTTTTCTTTTCGCGTATTTTATAAAACGCTGGCCATGAGTTTGACTCCACTGGAACGATCAATAAGCATCTATACCATTATCCACTAGATTGCACTCTTTACTTAAACAAAAAGAGCACACAACTAAGACTTGAACCGAAATCCACTCGCGCAAGGGAAAATCCTCACTGGTCGCCGCAAAAAGCTAAACTGGCGCGTTGCTGTGACGCCACCAACTGGTCGCTCTGCGGCCGCGCGCTCGTATTTAACGTGTTGCGGTTGCGACTGCACTGTGATGGATCGATTATGGCTAATACTATAGCGCTTTTCTGGGCCCAGATTTATAATGACAACTACTGGCGGTTAGGAATGATTGCACACTTTTTGAAGATATCTATGGTCATATTGGCCTTATAAATTCTATTATGCTGACGTTTCTCTGACTCCACCGAATTTCTCTCCAGAGTCGGTGGTTAGACAGCCGGCTCCGAGTCCAAAGCCGACACCCTTTGGCCCATACTTCCGTCCATGGCACTGTTTACAATACAATTCAGCCTCGTGTGGAGCCACCGTACATGAGTCGAGCAATTTGTTGCACATATCTGAAATCCTTATTTGGGCACCTGAGAGTCATGCATATAAGTATGAGGTTCTAACGAGTTTTCTTCAAAGATGATGCTTCCAGTGGTTTCTTGCAATTTCATTTGAGGACGTTCTATGAATTTACCATTCGAATGAGATCTTTTTGTATTTATTTTGCTATTTATTCCGTTCAAACACATTCAGTCGAAGCAAATATGCCGGTATCAGACGCGTGCGGTCGCGGTGCGTTCGTCGAGCGACGAGTTTAGCCACGAACTTTGAACAAGAGTGGCCTCTTCACTACACGTCCAATTATAGAAGGGTTTCTGCGACAGACAAGGCATGCAACAGAGGTTAGGGAAGGCTAGGACAGACGTAAGCAAGAGTTATGGAGAATTCCGATTTTTCTCTCAAAAATTTGTAGATCCATCTATCAGGAAAAGCACGGAATCCGGAAACGGATAGTCCGGAGTTCGGTTTCCCGGAAATCGGAACTCTGCATAACAGCAATATGTATAAGCAAAACAGCAAGTATTGACTGACGTCATGTCAACTTCTGTGTTTCCAAACTGTTCTCCGGTATCCATGGTAAGTGAACCGGCTCCGATACCAAAACCAACACCCTGGAAATCAAAAAGCGACAGTTAACAGAGAGAGGCTTTGTTTAGTAACAGCGGCAGTTGCGTACTACAGGCATCGTTAGGGATAAAAACTGCAGCTTAGTCGGGAGATCGTTCTACATCAATATAGGGTTACCGATAACCCGCCATTTTCATTGTATATGCTGCCCCATACCTTTTTTTGTGCCCCAGAGTGGGACATCGAGGAATCCACGATGTTGGCTGACCTTACTTCTCAGTAGGTTTTTAAAGCTGCTTGAGCCGGAGCACGAGACAGTTTTGAGAAAGAACCGTAATACTTCCTCGAACTTCTATGTTCATTCTAAGCGATCAGAAGGCAGTGGGGGGAGGGGAGGATGGCTGAGGATAGAGGCATTTTGATGACGTCATTGGGCTTCATTTGTGGATCAGTTTTCGCAGCGCACTGGGAGCTCACCTTCACACCCTTTACACCAATCACAAAATTCCACACAGGGTCAGCGGTCCGCTCACATTATTCGAACGAGTGGGTTACATTCGCTAATTCAGAAGGGGGGGGGGAGGTCGCATGTAGGGTTGAAAAAAGTTAACCATGTTCGGGTTAAGGAAAAGTACGAATGGAGGATCGCATCTGTTTGCAGGGTTAATGTCGCGATTGAGGTGAAAAATAAGCAGAAGTTGGAAGATGCAACTCATCAGTCATATCATACTTATTCCACACCCCTTAACCCCTCTCCCCTTCACCACCATCCTCACTCCCCCTCACTCAACGGCCGTTTTCAATGAAAAAGCGGGCGGGGTTGCTTCGACTTTCGGGGTAAGGGGAGGAGGTACAGATCGAGGGAGCCTCCCGAGGCTGATGGTGATGGTGGGGGTCATATCGAAACCTCC